GTTTAGAAGAATGATAACATATAAGATTGTTAGGAGGCATGATAGGGTAGGTGCAGGGAGGTTGTTTCCTCTTGTGGGAGAGTCTAGGACTAGAAGGAAAAAGTTCAGAGTTACGGGTCATTCATTTAAGACTGAGACGAGGATTGTATTCTATCTCATAGGTTGCAAATCCATGGAATTATTTACCACAGAGTATAGTTGAGCCTAGGTTGTTAAGTATATTCAAGGGTGAAATAAACATATTTAATCAGTAAGTGAATCAAGGGTTATGGGGATTAAGGAGGAAAATGGATTTGAGGACTGTCAGATCAGGCGTGATCTAATTGAATAGCAGAGCAAACTCAATAGGGCGACTGGCCTACTTCTGCTCTTCAGTCTTATTGATGTATGATTAATCCCTTTTCCTTCTCTCCTTCACGTTCCTCCCTTGCGACACTTATTAAAATCTAGCTCTTTGACCAAATCTATGGTTGTCCAACCCATTATCTCCTTAGAAGACTTGGGACTATGTTTTGTTTTACAATATCTATGTGAAGAACCTTGAGGTATTTCATTATGTAAAATGTTATATTTATGTAGCATTTAATATTTATATGAATTGTTGTTGTTAGTTGTCTAGCCAGTTCTTAGCTCACTTTAGAAAAACCTAACGCTTTCAAAATGTACCTATTCACAAGTATAATTGAAAGCCCTGCCCAATGACATATTTTAAATATAGCATAACATATTGCAAAATTGTAGACCATTCAAAATGTGGTGATTAATTCCAATGCAATGAGGGGAATTGGATAAGTATTCCATGGAGAACAAAACTGCAGTGATACTTTGAAGAGCAGGGAAGTGGGACTAACCAGATTGCTCTTCATTGTGCCAGTATAGACTTGATGGGTCAAATGTGCACGTACTGTGCTGCTCCATTCTATGAATCCATTTTTGTTAGATCATGTTACATAATTTATGTACAATTACATTTTAAAGCAATGTGAGACATCAGAGACAGGAAATTCTGACACCACTAATTAACCTCCTGATTCATCACCAAAAAGCACAAGTCAGAAGGATGATGGAATACTTCCCATTTTTCTGGATGAGTGCAGCTCCAAAAATACTCAAGAAGCTCACCACGACACAGATAAAGCAGTCCACTTGATCGGCACCACACCCCCAAACATTCACTCCCTCCACCACTGCCACCTAGTGGCAGAAGTTTATACTACCTTCAAGATGTACTCACCCAGACATCTATCAACAGCACCTTCTAAACCCGTGACCATTTCCATATTTTTCGGACAAGGACAGCATGTACTTAGGAACACTGCCAGCTGCAAATTACCCTCTAAGTCACACACCATTCTGACCTGGAACTGTATTGCCATTTCTTCATTGTTGCCAGGTCAAAATCTTGCACTAGAAGAATCAGTTCAAGAAACCAGCTCATCATCACTTTTTCCAAATCAATTAGGGACAGGTAATGAATGCTGGTCTTGTCAGCAACACATCCACAACATAAGACAATAAAAATGTGACCAAGTATGTCATCAACGTGTAGAAACAACAACATACTCATTATTTGATCATTCTGAGAGGTAATTGAGTAAATCTTTCAGTTTCTCATAAACATGTTTACTGAAAGGAAAACAGAGAAATATAATGGTACAACTGAAGCACTGAGGTCTTGCAACTTGTTTTATGGGTACAGCTTGCTGCTTCTTCCTACTTTGCCTTCTGTGTAATTACATGCCCTGGGTTTGCTTTGTTTAGATATAATGCTTTTTTTTCTGATGGCACTATTAAGAGTTGGCCTCAGTAGAGGACACTTTGGAAGACAAATTCTGAAAGCGAAGGTAATTCATGGGTAATGGAGGCCTATCAAACTCATCTCTCTGGGACACTGACTCACCTATCGAGTATGTGGAAGGCAAATGGAATGCATTGTTTACTGCAAGGGGAATGAAATGTAAATGTAATGAAGTTTTAGATAGATTAGGTATGTAAAGTAGAGAAGGCACTTATATTTTATCGTAAGGTTCTGCGGGGGTTTGACAGGTTACATGCAGAGAAGACATTTGCCCTTGTGTGAGAGACTCTAACTAGGGACACTTTAAAGATAAGGAATGTTCTATTTAAGACACATATGAGAAGAAATTATTTCTTCAGAGGATCATGAGCAAATAGCGAAGGGATACACAGGAAAATGGAGTTAAGCCACAATAAGATCATCCATGGTTTTATCAGATGGTGCAGCAGACCAGAGGGACTGAATAGTCTACTCCAGTTCCTTATTCATATTTGGTAGAAAATTATAATATTATTTGAGAACTTGGTTCTGAAACAGAGGTAAATTCATCTGTTGATTTTCAGTTGTGTGAAGATGACTTGCATGGGTCAGAAACTAATACTTCTTTTAGCAGTAGTTCAAAATATCATTTCCAACGAAGCATTGGCGTAAGCTAAATGACTCAGCAAGCTACCTGGTGAGATAATTGCTATTTATTGCTGATATGAATTTTTATGATCCACAGAGAAGACAAGTGGCTGTCAGAAGATCCATCCCAGCAGAAGGACATTTTTTAAGTTTGTGGAAATCTTCAGCTGATTTAGAAGTTCAAGTAAACAAGGCTGAAACAAAACCTGTGTTTTTTTAGTTCAGTGAGAAAACTCAGTTAGTCTGTGTTTGTATATCCCAGGCCAAGAGAGAGATTCACCTCATGCCTGTAAAGGATGCTGCTGGAAAAAAGTTGAATCTTCCTATTTATGATAAGATCTTTCCAAATTGTTTGATTTGTATTACACTTATAAGCTTTATCTATATTTTCTTCTCTGTAATAAACTAATGTTCTTTTGTTAAGATAATCTTCGTAGCCTCATGTCACTATGGTCAGTGGCCACCATGGCAACCAAAGTCCAAAAATAAAATTTATCGTTTCAAAGATAGTAGGAACTGCAGATGCTGGAAAATCTGAGATAACAAGGTATAGAGCTGGATGAACACAGCAGGCCAAGCAGCATCATAGGAGCAGGAAGGCTGACGTTTCGGGCCTAGACCCTTCATTTCTGGTATAATGCTGTATACTGCATCCGCTGTACCCGTTGTGGCCTCCTCTACATCGGGGAAACCAAGCGGAGGCTTGGGGACCACTTTGCAGAACACCTATGCTCGGTTCGCAATAAACAACTGCACCTCCCAGTCGAGAACCATTTCAACTTCCCCTCCCATTCCTCAGACGACATGTCCATCCTGGGCCTCCCACAGTGCCACAACGATGCCACCCGAAGGTTGCAGGAACAGCAACTCATATTCCGCTTGGGAACCCTGCAGCCCAATGGTATCAATGTGGATTTCACAAGCTTCAAAATCTCCCCTCCCCCTACCGCATCCCAAAATCAGCCCAGCTTGTCCCCGCCTCCCTAACCTGTTCTTCCTCCTACCTATCCCCTCCTCCCACCTCAAGCCACACCTCCATCTCCTACCGACCAACCTCATCCCGCCCCCTTGACCTGTCCATTCTCCGTGGACTGACCTATTTCCTCCCTACCTACACTCACCTTTACTGGCTCCATCCCTGCCTCTTTGACTGGTCTGTTTCCTCTCCACCTATCCTCTCCTCTATCCATCTTCTATCCGCCTCTCCCTCTCTCCCTATTTATTTCAGAACCCCCTTCCCCTCCCCCATTTCTGATGAAAGGTCTAGGCCCGAAACGTCAGCCTTCCTGCTCCTACGATGCTGCTTGGCCTGCTGTGTTTATCATCTCAAATAAAGTTTCATGCTGGAATCTGACTTGTTCAGTGTGACCTTCAGCTGGGATCATAACAACCTGGCCTCTGGGTCTGTTAAAAAAAAAAACCAAAATGTTTTGCTCAGTTTTCCTACTTGGTGAATTATTCCAAATTTTTCCTCACTTTTTAATTGAGCTAAGTTCTTGATCTGTTTTAAATTTACTTTTTCATGAATTTCCACACAAGTCTGTGATAATCTAAAACTCAGTAGCTGGTGTCCTAACTTGAACCAATTCACCCAATACTCCTGTGCTCAGTGCCTTACATATGCTTCAAGTGTGATGTCTTGATTTAAAAATTTTTTTAATACTCACATTCAGGCCTTCCCCATCCAGCTGCAAAGTCCAGCCCCGCCTTTCTACACCCTTCTGAAATCCTGATTCATTTTCATGTTTGGTCTCTTCTACTCCACCATTGACAACTGCCTATGACCTTTAAACTCCAAAATCATTTTGTAATTGCTTAGTACCTCCACTCCTTTAGATATTTGCTAATCTACCTGATCAGAGATACTATTACATAGCTCTGGAGCAGGTGGGACTTCAACCTAAGTCTCAGAGGGAGGGACACCACTATGAAACCATAGTAATGATAATACACAGAAGAGGGCCATTTGACCCATTTGTCTATACCAACTCAGATGCCCTTTTTAATCATATCCTCCTGCACATGGCACATAACCCTGCAGTTTACAGCATTTAAAGTGCAGATTACTGCAAGGGTCCCTCCCCTCCTAATTTTCATTTTTTAAAAATATTTGAAAGACCAATCACACACACACAACCAAACACTTTTTCACCAAATCAGCTGTGGCAATTTTCACCTAATAATCACCACCATTACTAAATTACCCATGTCTCCAATTGTTCAATTTACATGCAGAGTCCATTAAGAGCAATGGTCTCCCACCTCTTTATCTTTCAAAGTCAGCTTTATTGCACGGCTAAAGTTGGAAACAAGGAACCACTAAATTTTTGAACTCAAGATCACCCACTTACAAGGTAGACAATTTAACCCACAGTGCCACCTGTCTCCCTCCTACTCCTTTAAAACTTTATTAAAGATTTTAGTCACCCGTCTCAATATCTCCCTTTGATTTGGTGTCAACTTCTGTTTGATGGAGCTCTTATGAGGTACCTTGGGGCATTTTACTACTTTAAAAGTGCTACACATAATGTATGTTGACTTTGTATTGTAACACTGATTAAACAGATACAACTAATCCATATTTATTGAAAACTTTATTCTTTAACAAATACAAAATATTTCAAGACAATTCATTGTCAATGTAATCTAAACAGAGTGAAAACCACACCAGATTGGAAACTCTCATACCCACTGCTAAAAGCACCAAAAGTCCAAGAGGGAGAATGCAACAGATGTACAAGTCACTTTTTAGGGGCTGTTGGCTGGTTTATCTGGGGAATTTACTTGCAGTTAGATGGATAGTTCCTTAAAACTGGTGCAGGATCCTTCAGTGCCATGTTTTAATTCACTCTAATTGCTCAGGTCAAGTGTTTGAAATTCAACTCCTAAACGCACTTTTACAAAATATAAACTTCATCACTGGCATTGGAAACTCCTATCTCACACCCAGAAATTGCATAGATCTTCAAAAATCCAGCAATTTTTTTTTTACTTTCTAAAACATCTAAAAGTGATCAGATTGCTAGTTCTGCATATGAAGTGTGTGACAACGAAAGGCATTTTCACTTTGGATGCAATGGTATCGTGTCCTTTAAAGAATCAGGCTTATGGTCTGTGACTCTTCAATCGAACAACCAGTGAATAAGATTTAAATATTTATTCTATTCCCAACATGAAGGATTCTGGCTATTAGAGTTAATTTAATCCCTCCATTTTTGGACCAGATGTGGATCGTGCTGGGCATCCTAGTTGCCAGCTTTGAGAAAATTGCACTTTTATCTGAATCAGAAGGTTGTGAATTCAAGTTGTACTCATGAGATCTGTGCACTAAAATCTACACTGAACTCCTAAACCTTACTGAGAGTGCTGCATTATCGAAGTTGCCAGGTTTTAAGAGACAATAAACCTAGATGCTGACTTCCCTCTCAGCTGTACATGAGAAACCCAATGGCATTATAATGAAGAGTAGCAGAAAAGCTATCCATAGTATCCTGGCCAATATTTATATCTCAGCATCAAAGAAATTAACTGCTCATTATTAAATTTCTGTTATGGGGATTTTACTGTGTGCAAATTGGCTACACTGTTTCCTACATTACAACAATGACTATACGTCAAAAGCATTTCATTGGCTGGAAAACATGACAATGAAAAATGATATAGATGTGCAAGTCTTTGTATCCTGTGTCACACTAACCAATCAAATCTCAGCATATGCTGTGGCCTCATTCAATTCTGTGACTAGTGAAGGGAACCTAGTGTGACATTTATCCATCCTTTGTGCCTTCTTTTTGCCTGGCATTATAATAACCCGATTTCCACCAAACTCTCTCAATCACATGAGTGTTACAGTGTAGGAGGCCATTTGGCCCATCTCGTCTGCTACCACACTTCAATTGAGCGTCATTACCTACTGCCAATCTGTTTTCTCCCAATACCCCTACACTTCATTTCTATCCAAATAATCATCTAATATCCTCTTTAATGCCTTAATTGAACAAATGGTCAGACTTCTCAAATTTAAGAGTTTTTCACTGTTTCAGATTTAGAGGTGCTAGTACATAAGGTGCAGGTTCCAGGATCATCTGGAGACTTCCAAACTAATATTTCCAGATACATGATTTCAGTTATACCTACATTATGTCAAAGTTAGTAACTCTGGAGAACTATTTACTTTATGTCCCTCCAATATAGGACTTCTATCGGCACTAGAGTCCAACTCTAAGGCTATTCATTCCAGGAGTACTTACTCGTGTGAGCTATGCCTACTGAACCTAAAGGGAAGGTGAAATTTGATTCTTCACCACTATAACATATTCCTCTCTGGTCTATGTTGGAAATACTGTGTTGATCTTGACATTCCGTACGTTTTATTAATTTTCTCCCAAGCCCAGGCTCACTGCCTTCTCCTGCCAAATAAATGCATATCATTACTGATCCCTCATTCACCCTTTGTCCTATGTACCTTTCTCTCAGTCTAGGCAATCTTAAATGAGATTCTGCTCGCATCAATCTTGGTGGTAATGACTTCACAGTCTATCCAGTTTCTCTGTAATGCAGCATTCTTGGAGGTTTACACCAAACTCTTATCAGAGGAGCTATTTCAAGGTGGGCAAAACCTGCTTCAAAATCTCCCCACTCCCAGCTTCATCCAAGGTCCAGCCCTCCCTCTCATCTCCACCTCCTTGACCTGAGATCTGTCCATCTTCCTTCTGACTTATCTGTTCCACCTTTCCCACCTGACCAAGCTCTACAACCCCCTACCTGCATCCACCTATCACCATCCCACCAACCTTCCCCCAGCCCCATCCCGCGCCATTTATTTCTGAGCTCCCTTCCTCCTCCCCAGTCCTGATGGAGGATCCTGACCTAAAACATCAACTTTCCTGCTCCTCAGATGCTGTCTGACCTGCTATGCTCCTCCAGCTCCACATTTTATTGACTCAGAGAATCGATGTTGTGTTTCCCCAACAGTGACATTAAGATGATAAGGCTCCACAGCACCTCCCCACCCCCGAGTATGCTCCATCACTCAAAACCATCATGGATGATCTTGTGCCTTAAGACCACTTTCCCTGCCTATTCTTGATCCATTTTGATCAAAAATCTATTGATCTCAGTGTTGAATATGCTCAATGGCTGAGCATTCACAGATCTCAAAAGACAGAAATTTCAAACATTCCCCTTTCCACACCAAGTGAAGAAATTTCACTTTATCTTGGTTCAAAATGACCAAATCCTTAACCTGAGAATATGCCATCTAGTTCTGGAGTCTCCAACCAGGGGAAACAAATTTTCAGCATCCATGCCAGCAATCCCTCCATTAATATGATAACTTTAATCAGAGCTTCACTAATAAACACCGCAGATTAAAGGCCCATTCTACTCATAATCCTTAGCTATAAAATCAATCTCATGTGGCTTTGCGAGATTTCTTTCTCTGAGGAACATGTTGGTTCTAAGGTAGGGAGCTGTCTGAGCAAGGCAAAATACTACAACAGCAGCCTTGGTTTCATCAACTGCCAGGTAAACATTCCATTCATCTTCCTAACTGCTTGCTGTAACGGAATGTTAGTTTTTAAGTGATTTGTGTATATAGAGGGATTTTGGCATCCAAACACCACCCCCTGTTGTAGGAATACAATTGCAGGATTGTGCCCTTCATCCATACAATATTAGATCTACGCTTATTTGACCTCAAATTCCCAATTTCCTGCTGGACTGGGGTCACAATTGAAGTAAAGCCCGTTCAAATGATACGACAGTCTTTGGTGACAATGCTGCCAACGGTAGGTGAATATATGGAAACATGTTTAAAAGGTCAAGTGATAACTTATGAACATCAGCATGATAAGTTGGCCCCATTCACAATGATTTTGGAAGGAGTGCCTACAATGAGAGCAACCCGATTGGTGTTATTTGTATTCCTCTTCAATACTTACCTTCACACTTCTATTGAAAAATAATTGTCTGGGTTTTGACTGGTAGATTCTCTGTTTGATAAGACTTGTCCTGGATACTGTTTCATTGTAGAATAATTAATTCACTTGTCACTTCAAAAAGGTACCTAAGCTAATAAGAGCCCCTTTAAACACCTGAATGGAGTATTCAGAGAAAGGGGCAGCAATAGGTACAAAAACTTCAGAAATGGATCTCAATGAAACCAAAAACAAAAAGAGGTGCATGAAAGACTTTGCCAAATGTGGAATGCAAGGAACACAGATACTCAGAGGATCCCTTATAAACATTGTTTTCCAGCTTCCTAAGAAAGCTATGATAGACAATTACAGAACATTCCTAGGAGGATAAATATGTTTGTTGGTAGCTTTAAAACAAAGGCAAGTATTGAGGGAAGTGTGCAGCTGCTTGCAGTGACACCTTCACCATGAAAGTGTTTATGTTCTTTGGGGTACAGGTATGTTTTCATGTATGTAGCTCATGCTGCCTTGCTCTGCAAAGTCAGACACTGCCTGGCCCTCTCCACGTAGCAGCCACTTGGTGGTCAGCAGCCCCTCCAATCCCACTGGCCCACGGGCATGGATACGTGCCGTACTGATTCCAACCTCAGCACCTTAAAAACAAAGAATATATAATTTTGGTCAAGAAGAGTTAGATGTCTTCTGAGTGAGAGTTGTTGCTTGGTAGTACAGAACTAAAACAATGCTAAAAAGGAGACATACAATTGATATTTTTCATCTTAATACGCATCAGGACTATGATGCATGGAACCAGATTTGAAAAAAAGAGGAAGACCAATTTATAGAGTATGACAAGACATGGCTGACTAGATGGACCATTGTTGGCTTTGAAATGCAAGAAATATTTAACTGTCATTCTTAGACCTCAGACTAGGCAGGTAGTCTTTGAATAGTCAGGGTGTTACCAAAGGGAATACTACACTGATTGGTAGTGTCCATGGCCCCTTTTCCAATGGGAAGCATGCAAAGTATATACGACTTCCTTTCACCTGCATAAAACAGATCTTTGTGATAAATATAAGCAATGCAATGCATTACATTGCAAAAAACTTTTGATAATCAAACTGGTTTCCAAATTATTTGGTAAATGTTGTCCAATAGCAAAATCACATCTAATGCTGGACACGATATTATGAAGCTTACAAGTCAGTTGAGCACAATTGGTACACTGCCTGCTATGGTCAGTTGGGCTTGCAGAGTGATGCGTGGCCACATGCTAGAAGCTACAAATATTAACACATCTGTTTTATGCAGATAAATGGAATTTGTACACGCATTATTGGGTTTTTTTTGAATTGGGAGGGAGTCATGAAGACTGCCAATCTCTGCTACATTCAGCATGCTAACACCATGACCAATCGGAGGCTAGCTGCATACACTGAGAACTAAGGCCACTACATTTCCATACCAACGATAGCCCAACCAATCAGTACTCTCTTCTAATGCTGTATAAACTGATCTTCCTTTATCAAGTCTGGTTTCTTGCATTCTAGTCTTGATGAGTGCAAGACAAAAAGCTTTGACTTTGTGCATCCTTTTGGCAAAAACTGAAGTATTATGTGAATACAGACCCCCTCAGGAAGTTAGCAGTTGTATAATGCACTGCTGGCCTGTATTAAACGATCCTAAACAGGAGCCTCACAATTGCCTTCTTCATCACTACTCGGTGCTCCTGCTAAAAGTGCTTGCAGGAACAGGAACAGATAGCACTGAGATGGCTCTTAGAGTCAAATAACCAGCAAATTCAGTCACAGTCACAAAGATGTTCAGACTCTGAAAGCAAAGCTCAGCAGGGAATCAACTCCTTCAGAAGGGAAAGATCATGAAGGATGTGGAGACATTCTAGCTATTGTCCACTGAGAAAATACTGGGATGTTTTCCACAGAAATATTAGGGAAGGTGACTCTTTCTAAAATTCTGAAATAAACATTGACAGATATAGGGATTTAAAAACTACACACCTATTTGTTATTCAACAAAATGAGTTGGGAGCAAGCTCCAAATGCAGCTGTTGGACACATCTGATCGCAATGCATGGCAGCAGTAACAAAAAGGAGCAACATGTTCTTAAACTACAGGGGCAGAAATACTGAGTGAGAGAAGGGGAAGAAACAGAGGGAGCAAGAGTGCATGGAAGAGAAAGAGATTGGGAGAGATGGAGTGAGTCGGAGGAGGACTGGAAAGCGGAGTGGCAGAGAGCTGATGGAGATTGGGTGATAGGAAGGTGAGGGGAACAGAAATGTAGAAAGAAAGAGAAGAGAGGGAGAGAAAGGGAGAGATAGACAGAGAAGAATGTGGCTACTCCAGAACTCAGATCTCTCCTATATCAGAAATAAAAACAGAAGGTGCAGCAGAAAAACTGAACAAAAACTCAAAGCTAACGTGAGTCTTATTCAGAACTAAACAGTTCATATTACAGTCATGTTGGACTTAAAACATGTTTCTCTCTCCACCGATGATACCAGACCTGTTGACTTTGTTTTTATTTCAGATTTATAACATCCAAAGTATTTTGGTTTTACCTCCCTATATCAGAGCAGGTTGTCTCTCACCAAGCCTTTATATACAGGAATAGTGTCTCAATCACCCTAAGCAAATAGCATTCTGAATGTAAAGCTCTTTAAATGGCATGTTTGGAATTGAATTCGTAGTGTTGTGGGTGTGTTACTGTTTTAATAATCTCACCATGTGCTGCTTGTATAAATTTGATCTTTTAAAAATAGTCAAGAAAAAAAGTCAACCAGAAAAGTGAACATGAAGCTGTCAGCTTATTGTGTAAATCCAATTGGTTCATTTTTGAACATTAAGGAATTACCTGCTGTCCTTACCTGGCCTGGGCCTACATGCAACTCCAGTCTCACATTAATATGATTCCAAAATAAGGCAACTGTGAATGGCTAATAAATTTTGTCTTGCCAGCAATACTTATGTTCCAAGAACTAAATTTTAATAAGGACCCCATGAAATAATGGCAACAACAAATCACCATAGCACTGTGCCCTTGAGAAAGGAGTAAGGGACTCAATACGACAATTAAGGATAGCAGAGATAGTTCCAGATCACGGAGGGACAAAGACAGACTGAGCAAGCACAGTCCATATCCACGGAAGCAAGGTTTGACTATGGAAGCACTAAAAGGAGGGCTCGGATTTCTTTGAGTCCTGGTCAACATTCTTCATTCAAACACCTGAACAACTGATTATTTCATGTCAGAGGCATACAGCACAGAAACTGACCCTTCAGTCCAAGCTGAACATAATCCCAAACTAAACGAATGCCACCTGCCTGCTCCTGGTACATATCCTTCCGAACCTTTCCTAATCATGTTACTTATCCAAATGTCTTTTAAACGTTGTAATTGTACCCGCATCCTCAGGAAGTTCATTCCACATGTGAACCATCCTCCGTGTAAAAGATTTGCCTCTATGTCTTTTTAACAATTTCTCTCCTCGCAGCTTAAAATGTGCTACTTGTGGAATTTTATTGTGAGCAAAATGGCTGTCACTTTGGGACAACATCCAAGGTTCAGAATGTAAATTTCAGAAAGAAAAAAATTTAAATAGCAGCATCTATTGAACTTCCCGTAACATTAACACTATTTTGCAGTTACAATCATGCATTATTATTGCATAAACAGTGATGAAATAAGCTAACGTTGTTTGTGTTGAGGGGAAAATGCTCTTAAAGACCAGGAGAATTCCCTGTTTCAATGTTACGAGCAGATAGGATCTTGCTTTAATGTTGGCTCTGCGCTGCCCTGGAACATCTGTTTTACATTATATGCTCAGGTCCCAGAGTACAGTTCAATCCATAGGGTGAAGCCATTTCATTATTTCCCCCTACAGCTTTAAAGACCCAAACGTAAATTACCATAATTTAGTGCGGCTTACCAAGTCCAAATCGATATCCATCAGAGAAACGAGTGCTTGCATTCCAGAAGACACAGGCACTGTCAACGTGCTGCATGAAGTATTCAGCTGTCTCCTCTAAAAACAAAAACTTGCAATCATAAATCCAGCTCAGCTCAAAGCCAGCCTGTACTGTAAACTGGTCCAAATCTGATTTCAGCTCTAGGAGAGGTTAGAAATGTTTCACTGCTAAATGGATTTCTGTATTATTATTTGAACACAAAATTCAGCACTATCCAAATTAATTTTTCAATTAAAAAAATCAACTTGAAATGAAGTTACAACACTGATTGAATACATCAGCTTGCAGCTTGTTCAAAGCAGGATGTGAACAATTTGGCTGGGGTGCAATAGGATTGTCAGATTAAAGAGCATGCGCGCGCATGCGAGAGAGAGAGGGAGAGAGAGAGAGAGACAGAGCGCACGCGAACATGAGAGAGAGCGCGCAAGCACGAGTGCAAGAGCGAGAGAGCTGTTGCTGAAGCGAAGGGTCTGTATCCAGGGCATCAAATTTGTTTTATTCACAAGCTACTGATGCTGCCCAGTTTGACCTGCTTCCCCTACTGTAACCTCAGTTCTGGTTTATAGGGTTCCTGCTCCTCTCCTCATCCCAGCGTAAGTGTCAGACTTTGAAGCAGGTTGTAGTCCTCTCAAACAAAAACATTCTTGTGTTTTCAATTGCTAGTTCCTCTATGTTCTGATTCTGTTCAAGTGCTCATTTGTTTTTCAAGGTTTCAGTTCTAACGGAGGGCTGTACAGCTTAGGCACTGACTACCAGTTTTCTCCATGGAAGCCACCTGGTACATTGCAACCTTTAATATTCTCCAGGTCTCTTTCAAGAATGCAATGTTTGCTGATGTAGTTTTAGGCACAAGGAACATGGACAATATCAGTATAAAGCAATGACACCTACCACTTTCTGTTACAATTGCATCTGTGTGCGAGCTGCCATATTTGTGTATGTGTTCAATTGCATCTTGCACATTGTCCACAACTTCAATGCAGCACTCCAGGTCCCCGTATTCTGTGCGAAGGGATTTCACTTCTGAAGGGCTGAAAGTCAGGTATGATGCAAACTTGGGCCCAGCATGAATTTTCACCTGAAAATACGAAGTATTGCCAATCATGAGACACTGTGACATCATCAAGGATCTTAGAGAGCACAAATCATGATAGAAAGAAGAAAATTAATTTCCAGCATAAATCAGACAAAGCACAGCAAGTTCAGGATTTGTAACACAGGCCTAAAGTGGTATCTCCATAACTAACAGCCCATTCCTTCTTGATATTTAGCCTGTTTTCTCCAGCTGATTAGATAAATTCTCAATATGGTACAGATCCAGGATTGGTGATACCTATTCCAAAATCTATCTTAGTGGCCATTTTTCAGCTAGAAGCCATTCTTAACCGTCCGGCTTTTGGATGCACCACAGGTGTGTCCAGGCCTGTCCTCACTGAATGTCCACATGGAGAGAATGCCTGTAGCTGCCTCATCACTTCAATAACCCTGAGGATTTGTAAATAAACTCAAGGTGCTTACCTGTTCTACTCTCAGCATGTCAATAATCTGGTCGAAGAAGGGCGTCCTCAGCAAGTCTCTGTGGACTAACAATGTCTCCATAGCATTACACGCTGCAGGGTAATCACATTTGGAATCTCGAGCTGGAAATAGAAACTGGTTTTATTAAACATTTGATACAGAAGCAGCGTTAACATTCCGAGTCTAGTATGAAAAACGGAAAGAGCTGTGCATGCTGCAAATCAGGAACAAAAACAGACGTTGCTGGAAAAGCTCAGCAGGTCTGGCAGCATCTGTGAAGAAAAAAAATCAGAGTTAATGTTTCGGGTCCGGCGACCCTTCCTCAGAACGGAGGATACAATGAATCCGAAACGTTAACTCTGATTTTCTCTTCACAGATGCTGCCGATCTGATGAGCTTTTCCAGCAACTTCTGTTGAGTCGAGTATGACTCTTCTACAGAATTGAGTAGACAAAATAATCGGTTTATAATTCATTTAGCAATTAAAAAATAATGCAGAAAAAAAAAAACAATAGTGAAGCTTCCTCTGCCATTTGGGCATTCAGAACATATCTGGGGCTTCTTCCAAAGGAGGCAGGTACTAACTGATTCCCTAGAGTCTGCTAAATAGAAGATTATGAGTGTCTTACTGACTTGTTATCAATGTGCACACGAGTGAACAATCTGGACAGACACTGGATGCTAATTTGCACAGTGCCATATAACTTGTGCTCCAGAGAGTTAACACTAGGTTAACACTCAAGCACATAAGGAAATGCTGAGTGTTGAGATATTATCTCTTAGATGAGATGTTGAACCAAGTTCTGTTTGCTTTCAGGTGAATGAAAGAATCCCAAATAACAATTTTGAAGAACAGGGGAGTTATCTACTGGTATTCTGGCCAGCATCATTAAAAAGAGATTTTTGACCATTATCACACTGCTGTTTGTGGAAGCTTGCTTGAAGCCACATGTCCAACATCAGTATCTACACATTAAAAGTACTTCAATGGCTGTAAATGCCAATCTCTGTCTGTGAACTTGTCCTTCTTCTTCTAACAATCGTCTCAAACTGATAATCATCCATCTTTCTTTCCTGGCTCCCATATTAGCTGAAATTGTTATTGTTCTCTCTCCTCAGCTACTATTCATTTCCCTTTAAATCTGTCATCATCACACCTCTGCCCAAAAACAACCCCTTGATCCCCACCATCCTTGCAAACTACCACCCTATCTCCAACCTCTATTTTCTCTTCAAAATTCCTGAACATGTTGTCACCTCCAAAATCGGTTTAATCTTTTGCAGAACTCCACGTTTGAATTCCTCTGAATAGGTCTGCATCTGTACCATGGCAAGGGCAGGACTCTTATCGATTCACAAATGATATCCTATTTGTGTATAAAAGATAACCGGTCTGCACTTGTCTTTGTGGTACCCTTAATCTCATTATTCTTGTCCAGTGCCACTCCATCACTGTACAGCCGGTTGGGATAGCTCTCATTTTCTTACATTCTTAGCGATCCAATCATAGCCGGAGACCATCCAAAATGGCTTATCTCCCTGAGCTCTCACTGTTACCTTTGGTATCTGTCAAGGATCTATCCTTTGCTCTCTTCATGCTACCTGTTGGTGGCATCATCCAAAAACAGCACTAATTGTTTTTTCTTTATTCATTCACGGGATGAGGGGATCACTGGCTAGGCAGCATTTATTGCCCATCCCCAATTGCCCAGAGGGCAGTTCAGAGTCAACCACATTGCTGTGGGTCTGGAGTCACATATTAGGCCAGACCAGGTAAGGATGGCAGTTTCCTTCCCTAAAGGACATTAGTGAACCAGATGGGATTTTCCAACAATCGACAATGGATTCACGATCATCATTAGACTCTTCATTCCAAATATTTATTGAATTCAAATTCCACCATCTGCCATGGTGGCTTTCGAACCCGGGTCCCCAGAACGTTATCTGGGTCTCTTGATCAACTGTCCAGCGATAATACCACTAAGCCATCTCCTCCCCTTAAAGTGAACTCTGACAACATACCATTTTACAACACACTCCTCTACTCTTCCACTGGTTCTAAATTATCAGAATGCTTGTGACATTCCATAATTGATAAGCAGAAATGTCTTCCAATTAAATATTGGGAAGACAGAAATCACAAGCTTTGCTCCCAATTTCAATCCTCTTCTAGCAACAGTTATGAGGCCGAAACCGGCATTTTGTACCATGGTGTCATATTTGATCCCAGGGTTAGCTTCCAATTCCTACCCTCATCATCATTATGTTTGCAATTATTTCTTCTGTAACACCAAATAACTTCTTCTATGCCTCAACTCAAACACTTGCTGAAATCCCAATCCATTCTTTTCTTTCGTCTATACTCAACTATTCCAATGCACTCCTGGTCAGCCTCCCATTTTCCAACTTTTGTAAATTTAAAGACATCCTAACCTTCCTGTCTGGGCCTGAACCACTGGAATTCCCTTCCATCTGCCTCCTTAAATCCTACCTCTTTCAAGAAGCTTTTGGTCACCTGCCTTAATATCTCTAAGTGCCTCAGGGTCAGATTTTACATGATAACAATCCTCTGAAACACAATGGGACCTGTTAAGTCGGCATAAAAATGTAAGTTGTTGTAAATATACTGGGATTCTGAAGAAGAATTGTATGAACAGAAGTCTGCTCTTGACTTGCCGTGGTATGTAACCAGCAAACTTCCACCAATGCATTCAGAGATTTAGCTCTTTGACCGACTGGGTGACAAAATAGGTTTCATGTGGAGGCATGGAGGAGTGCGGACAAACTCTAATCTTTCTGCTGTCTGACCTGGACTGTCAATATTTAGGATAAGCCTGTTTATGAGCCCAGCTCAACTCCAGTCCAGACTTACCAATCTTGATGGCCTTTTCTATATTAGCATCAGAATCCACATAGATATGACAAATCCCCTCACTGTGCCCAAGGACTGGAATGCCTTTTGATGCTTTTTGAATGTCCCGAACCAACTGGGAGGAGCCTCGAGGGATGATTAGATCAATGAGCTTGTCCAATCTACAAAGATCTTCTACTTCTTCACGAGTGCTCACCTGAAACATGAAAAAAAACCTTTTGAAGAAAGGCCAGAAGTCAATAACTAACCCTTCAACCTATTAGTTACGTGGCAATAAAAACAAAATTGCTGGAAAAGCTCAGCAGGTCTGGCAGCATCTGTGAAGTAAAAAACAGTTAACGTTTCGGGTCCAGTAACCTTTCCTCAGAACGGGGCAATGTTTTGCCCAGAAATACAGACTGATCAATTATGCTCCACTCCTTCTCTTCAGGAGTTATCCAGTCTATTCCCACTTTGCCCTCGTCCTATAATATCCCATTCAGTCTAGTCCCACACGTTCCTGCACATCCTGCATCTTTTGACATCCCATCTCATGTAATCTCACTCTCCCTTTCACTCCCCACACCCTTTAATATTCAGCCCAGTCTAATCTGACTTTCCTCTCTCACAGCACTCTTGAATATCCCAAGTCAAATATATACATTTTCAAGCAACTGTTTAATTTTCTTTTGAAACATCCTTAGGCATTGCTTCAAAAGATGCTCGTGGCAGAGAATTCTATACTCATTCTACAGTTTAACACACTGTGTGAAAAATTTCTCCCGAAGCTCCCTGTGTTATGTAATTATCTTCAATTCATGCTGTATTGTAACCTACATATTAACTGTTCACAATTTCAGTGTCCTTCCTGACCTCAACCTGATTTTCAAACCTACATCACAAGACAGACCATAAACCTCAATCTGTATCACCTATCTCAGCTGAAGCCATTATCCTGCCATTGCCATTTCCAAACTCAATATTCCAATGTCCTCCTGCCTGATCTTCCATATTGTATTTTCACTACAATTCCAGATTATCCAAAACTCTGCTCCCAAATCCTAATTAGCACCAGGTTCTGTATCAATCACCTCTGCGCCCACTGACCTGTAATGGTTTACAGTCAAGCACCATCTCAAACTAAAGTCAGAGTTCCTAAATGCAACAGCACGAATCCCTCACTCAGCAACGTGGTCAGTTCATCATCACTTCACTAAAAGCTTGAATCAGCACCTACCAAATGAACTGCATCCTTGACACCATGCATGGAAAGTGCTTCCTGGGTCAAATGGTGCAGGATGTGGTTGCTGTAGGTTGCTTCTTTCCCTCCTTTCAATAACAGGCCATTTCCACTTGCTATCGCCAGTGCAGAAACCTATAAAATGGAAACAACCAACAGTATTTTTGATTAAATTTGGATGTCATATTGTGCCATCAGCATCTCGTAATTTAACAGTTTCCCAATAAAAATACATCAACAAATTTGCTCAATTTGTTAAAACTTTTTAAACTGGAACCTGTTTATTGTACATCTCCAAAGGGAAGAAGCCCAGCCTTGTTCCAGTACAGAGGACTGTACTGGAAGTGGCTTGGGATCAAAATCATTAGAGGTGTGGATACCGTAGATAAGGAGTAACTGTTTCCACTTGTAAGAGGACCGAGAACCAGAAAAATAGATTTGATTGTTTTGCAAAAGCAGCAAATGCAAGATAAGAAAAGACTTTTTTCACACGGCGATTAGTTAGTGTCTGGAATGCATTGCCTGGAAGTATGGTGAAGGCTGATTCAACTGAGAAATTCAAGTGGGCAGTAGGTGTTTATTTAAATAGAAAATCAGAGTTGCAGAGAGAAGGCAGGATATTGACAACAAGTCAAAATGCTCACAAAGTCAGCATAGGTATAATGGGCCGAATGTTCTCCTTCTGCACTATAACAATTCTTTGATTCTGTCACAACTTTAAAAGTGCTATACACTGAAAGCTTGTGTTAAGTTGGAGCCATGGAACTTCACCTATTCCCAAAAAATTACTAAATACCATTTGGCCAATTAATAAGTCAATTACATTTCAAAAGTTACTTGCTGGGTGCAAAGGGCTTTGAGATATACTGGGGTGCAATATAAATTTAAGTTTTCTCTTAATTCTTTTATTCTTCAGTATTAAATTCCAAGTATGCAGAACAATCCTTGCTGCTCTATGTACTTCAGATGGCCAGACTGCACATATTTTATCAAATGGAGTCTGATCAATCCCTACCTTGTCTACTTCTCTTTAAAAATATATGTACATACAAAATAGGGCCCCTTGAGCCTGCTCCACCATTCAATAAGATCGTGACTGATCTGTTCGTGTTTCAAAATCAACATTCCCATCTATCTCTGATAGCCCTTGATTCCCCACCTAATAAGAATCTATCCACATCTGCCTTAAAAGATATTCAAATATTCCGAGGCAGTGAGTTCCAAAGTTGCACAAACCTTTGAGAGAAAAAGTTCTCTTCATCTCCATCCTGAAAGGATGACTACTAATTTTAAAACATTACCCCCGAGTTCTGGTCTCACCCACAGGAAACAATGTTATATCCTGCCAAAGACCCATTAACGTAAAGTGTTTTTTGCCAAACATCTAAATCTTCTATCCATGCTCATGTTAATTCTGACAGCATGAGTTTTTATTTTCTACAATAACCTTTTAATGTGTCACCTTCTTGAAACCAAGTCTAATATGTCTATCAGTTTTGCTTTATCCACAGCCTGCCACTTGCTACTGGGAAAAAAAAAATCTTTCAAATATAAAAATTGCAAAGCTAAATGTTCTCCAACTATAATTTCCTCAGGCATCAAAATCTATCAAGTTTGGATATATGATATAGCTTTACAGTACAATGGAGGTCATTCAGCCAGTTTGTGTCTGTGCAGGTTCTGCACCTCACACTCCCACCATTTTTCAGGTTCAATTTTAAAGTGCAATGGCCTGTACATCACCAAATCCTTGTGACATCCATGCTCCAATAACCTACTGTTGAAGGAAACTTAACTCCTCTCATTTTCAGTGATCATTTTAAATTGATGACCCTTCATCACCTCCCCCCCACCGTCTTCCCTATTTTCATAGAATTATCTTCATAATTTTAAAAACCTTGAGTAAATCTGTGCCGAGCATTCTCTGCTCCAACGCAAATAGTCTCAATATCTCAAGTCTCACTATTATCAATGATCATTGGAATAGCTGAATGGCCGACTCCTGCTCCTAGTTTCTACATGATCAAGAGAAGGAAACATTTCTTCACAGAGTGGTCAATCTGTGGAATTTGCTACCACCAAAAGCTATGGAAACCAGGCCACTCAGTGTATTCAAGAAAGAAACTGCTAAGCTTTTAGATATTAAAAACATTAAGCAGTATGGAGAGAAAGTGAGAATATGGCATTGAGACAAAGGATCAGCGACGGTCATAATGAATGATGAAGCAGGCTTGAAGGCTCAAATGGCTTACTCCTGCTCCAAGATTCAATGAATCATTCTGGCTGATCTATTGTGTTCACTCTCTATGATGTTAATTTCCGTTCTGTAATGAAGTGTCCAGAAACTGCTCACAGTGGCTGAAATAACCATGGTATGGGAGTGATTTTTAATTTGTTTTTCCTGATTTGATTTTGGGATGAGGATGATAACAAAAAGGTTGACATTTATTACCTTTCCTTTGTTTACAAGTTTTGTACACAATCCACCAAAGCAATCTTCCACCTTGGCTCTTTAGGATTTCAACTCTCCTGTGTGATATTCTTTTACCTTAGACCTACTATCCCATATGATTTTGAATGTGAGCCATGTTCTGTCATCCCCACACATTTCATGCAATAATCACTTTTCACCTGTGGAAGACAGTCTGGACGAGATTCAAAAATCACTAACAGGACACCAATTGGAACAGTTATTTGCTCTAGATCCAGTCCTTTTGCAACTCTGGTTCTCCTGATCAGCCGACCCACGCTGTCCTGAGTGGATGCTGCAATCTGACGGAGACCAATGGCCAGGCTATTTAACTTTGCTGTAGTGAGGGTCAATCGCTTTAACAGTGGTTGTGAAAGTCGACCTGCTCCAGAGAAGGACAAAAAGGTGCATAGAAGTCATTTGTCATTATATTTCCCTACACTCTCCAACGTCCAGATATCACAAATAAAAACAGAAATTGCTGGGAAAAGCTCAGGAGGTCTGGCAGCATCAGTAGAGAGAAATCAGAGTTAACATTTCAGGTCCAGTGACCCTTTCTCAGAACTGATGAGCTAGGAAATTGTCAGAGTATGTGTGGGGGAGGGGTTGTGTGTTAGGGAGTGCATGATAAGTAGGGATAGAGCCCAAAGAAAGAGACGAACAGTTGGATAGACAAAGGAGTGGACAACGATCTTGCTAGGAGGGTGAATAGCTGTTAATAGGGACTGTTAGTGGCTAAGAATAGGTTGTGTGTAAATGCAGACTGTGTAATAACAAGTCTTGGTGTAGCGGGATAGGGCTAAGTACATGGGAAAGCTCAAGCCCTAAAAAGTTATTGAACTCAATATTGAGTCCAGAAAGCTGCAGGGTCCTAAGTGGAAAATGAGGTGTTGTTCTTGCAGCTTACACCGAGCTTCGCTGGAGTACTGCAGCAAGCCCGAGACAGATGTTGGCCAGGGAACAGGGTGGTGTGTTAAAGTGGCAGGCAACTGGAGGCTCAGGGTCTTTTTTTGCAGAGAGAATGTAAGCATTTTGTGAAGTGGTCACCCAGTCGATACTTAGTTTCCCCAATGTAGAGGAGATCACATTGTGAGCAGCAAACGCAGTAGACTAGATTGTGTGATGTCCAGGTAAAGTGCTGCTTCATCTGGAAGGTGTGTTTGAGTCCTTGGATACGAGGATGGAGGAAGTAAACTCTCCCCTGTCCTTACCCCAACCTCCACACACTAGGTCTTTTGATCACAGTCTGCTATTACACCCAACCCATTGTTAGCCACTAACACTCCCCATTAACAGCTAATCACCCTTTGTAGCCAGATCATTATCCAATCTTTTGTCTCTCTTTGGTCTCTATCCCTACCTATTGTTCACTTCTTATCCCCTCACCCACTCTATCTTTTACAGAAAAACTGACATTTTCCTAGCTACTATCAGTTCTGAGGAAGGGTCACTGGACCTGTAATGTTAACTCCGATTTCTCTCCACAGATGCTGCCAGACCTACTGAGCTTTTTCAGCAATTTCTGGTTTCGTTTACCATTTACAGCATCCACAGTTCTTTCAGTTTTTTTAAATCCAGTTATTACGAATTTAGTTTGACAAGGAATCAATTAGCTGCAAGAAGCCCTCAGTTTGGTTGTGCTGGCAGCTCTTTGATCATCTCGCATGACCTTGAAATGACAGTGAATTTGGAATTGAATATTCTACAAAAACACTTCTGCGGATTGGCACAAAACAGAAACATACATTATAAATAATCAGAGCAGCTTGTTGTGGTTGGTTGGCTCGCCGAGCTGGTTCGTTGTTCCGCAGACG